CGATCAAAACACATCCACAAGCAATTCAGGCACAAAAACACTGAGTAAGTAAAATATTGGTCATAGATCCTCAGTGAAAGGTTTACTGTAAAGAATTTTTTACTATTAAAATCAATTTTTGAATGCAAAATTTCCTTTGCATTTTTATTTGTTAGATTATGAGTAAATAGCCAAGTTCACGGCACACTGAGAACAGCGGCATTATCCAGGGGAAGGAATGCGATACTCCCTACAGGGAAGCTGAGGACACAGAAGGTTCAGAATCGGGTGGTGCAGTGAAGTCCTGCCTAGCACTGGGGAATGGAGGTGAGGGCTTCAACTACAGGTAACAATTCCAGGCTTTGAGCGGGCATTTCTTTAGCGAAGTTTACCAAATATCATTCAGGTGGTGTACAACCTTCATTTTCTGTAAAATGATAAGAATTTGGCTGCTACACTAAAAGGAATGTCTATTGAAAACCACGGTGGACAGAATTTCCCCCTAAGGAAACCATGTAGAGTGTTTATTTCCTTTCTTTAAGGACATGTACAAGACAGAGAAATACAATAATGCATATACACCACTACCTGATACAACTAGGAACAGACTGTCAGCATACAGACCCTACTAAAGCCTGTCAGTCAGTCAGCATAGGGACCCTGCCAGAGCCTGTCAGTCAGTCAGTCAGCATAAAGGTGTACTACGAAATACAGTCTTCTGAACACTATGTGTCCAAATTAAATTCCTGGACATCCTTCTCATGTCTATGTCACCACTATGGGAAGTCAGATCAATCCTGCCAAATGTTGCAACCTGACTCAATTGTTGTATATTTTTTAAAGTAACATTTTAAAACACAAGTCAATGTGCATCCTTGAAAGCTTGGGTGTATTTACCAAATTTCTTGAAACAAACAGAACATGGCTTCTGAGCCTAGCAAAGACACTGAAATGTGCATAAACTTTATAACCTAGACATAGTTTTCTCAATCATTACACTCTTTTCCCCTTGTCCCTTAGCTACCTCAGCACTAATAAGTTTCTCTGAAACGAGACCTCCAGCTCACAGAAGAACTGTAAGATGGATTTATTTCCAAACAGATACATCACCGTTTCTTTAAAATGTGAGCGCTTCTGATGATCAAACGTGAGGATGCAAAGAGGGGCACCCAGAACCTCACAGGAAACACTCAACCGTCCCATCTAGGAATACAAGTATGTTGTACCTAACTCTAACTTTCTGGGGAAAAACCAGACCCGGAAACGATACAGAGCAGACCCCTAGTGCAATGCATGTTTCTACTACATTTTCTTAGTCTACTTTCCAACTGAATGTAAAGCAAACTCCTCATCAGAACGAAACCAAAGACAATACAGATAATAAGGAAGAGCTCAATTCCCATTTGAGAACTAGAAGATAAGCAGAGAGCCTAAATCTGCCTTAGATCCCTCTTTCAGGCCTGTCACACACCAATTCCTCAATCAGCTTTGGATCAAGAAAAAGAAAATAAGACTACATGGTGGTTTTCCTGTTCCCATTTCATACCAATAGATTAAATGTTAACGCCTTCACCTCTTTCTCCCTCAACGAAACTGGAAGCTTCAAAGAAAGGTACTCTGGAATCCAACTTTTCTTTGTAGGATTTGTGACATGGACATAATCAAAATAATGTGTATATACTACCAATACACATTCAAGTAAGAAGAAAGGGTGCAGAGGACAAGAAAAAATAGGAAGTAGGACTTCACCAAAATGTGGAGTAAGCGTTCTATTCCATTCTCCCAGCTTCTTCCTGCTAAGCCTTCTGCCTGGAAGGATCTTGCTCTAAAAACGGAAGGATCTGGAAACTGCTTGCTATCGTCAAGCTCTCATTTCCCACTATCTGAGAATAAGAAGACCACCCAGGCTCCTCTTCTGAGGACCACGAACTAGTACAGCGGGACAGCGGAGAAGCACTCAGCAGGCTGAGGGCCAGAACGTGCATCCCGATGACCTAATGCCGGGGTTTACAACAGGGTAACATAATGCTGGCTTGTCAGTGAGATCTCCTCTTCCTAAGCATACGTTCAGCCCAAATTCAAAGTCTTTGGATCAGAATCTCCCTCTTCTCATTCATTAATTCTGAACTACTCTACCTGCCTAAGCAGAAAAAACTCTGCTGCTCATTTGGACTACAGACCAAAACCACCAGCCAAATAAAATTAGATGAGGCAACCTTATAAAAGGGCCACACATACATCCTAGACTACATCTCATTCTCAAAGCAGCGGCCATTCCCAACCTCCCAACACTGAGTCTCAGCACCATAGGGCAAGAGAAAAGTTATGAGAAGTAGTCTGTACCCTACCTCAATGTCCACACTTACAGAATCAATGTGTTGCTCTTTGGAAAATGTTCACTTACTGTAAATTATATGCCCTGTCCCCAAAATAACTTTCTTCAGGGCAAGGACTTTTCTCTTCCACCTCTGTGGATCCTACCACAACCACTACCCGCACCCAGCCCAAAGCCCCACAACCAAGGGCACTAAGTACACACTGTGTGATGGCTAAACAGGACTAGCAGGTTACTTACACCTTGGATGCAATTTCAGGAGAATCTAGGCGAGCAACCTTTGGAAACTGGCTGTGAGAGCCAACTCGGGATGTAAGAAAAAAGGACTCAAGGCCACAAGTCAGCTGCCTTTGCTTGATATCCTTTATCATCCTACAGGCTTTATCTCACTACCTCTCTCCAGGGTGCTTAAAATTCCCATCTAGTGCCCAAGGACATTTATTTACAGGGTGATTTGCTCCATGTCACCCTGCAAAGTAAAGGGTTAAAAGGAGGCATGTGCATGTATTTCAAAACTTCTAAAGAGGATTCTAATGAATAATTCCGGATGAGAACCATGACAAAAGGTCTTCTATTACCAAACAAAAACCCCCTTGGCAAATAGCTAAGCTTGCTCTACAAACTGATAACTTTAAGGTGGGGAGTCATCTATCTCTTAGGTCTCACTAGAAGGCCTTGCCTCTCAGAAAAATGCACATATATTCAGACGTTTTGCATACACAACTGGAGGGAAGGAGAATGCCATCAGGGTCAAGGGGCTAAGGATCCCTGTTCTACCCATTTCATTTAACCCTACAAAGAAAATAAAATGACAAAAGTGAATTGGTAAATACAGTCAAGAGTTAGACCCCCACAGGGTACCAAAGACATCAAGATGAGATAAAAGACTACTAGGAGGGAGGTTAATTCATCAGCAGGCTTTCCCACCCTTGGAAAAACAATTGCTCATGTGAAAAGAAATTTTTAACTTAGAGAGGAGAGTGTGTTGAAACTTACTGGAAAATAACAAGCAGTTTGAGTGAATTCTTCTCTGCCTTCTGCCCTGAGCGATTCAAGCCTCGATATGGTGACTCCTGGATCTACCCCTGTCCTTCTAACAGCCCGAGGTCAGGGAACTACAGCCTTGGCAGGAAAGGTGCTGTGGTCGGCCAAGAGGCCGCACTGCCCTGCAACAGTCCTGCAACGGCCAGAGGCCACTCTACCGTCCTGTGCCTCGCCCCACAGCCACCAGGATGCCTGGCTCTTGAAATGAAAAATACAAACCAACATATTTCCCACATACTCTGAGGCACCGAAGACAGAGGCCTATTTCTCAGGAAAGGAGGCAAGAATTCTCACCCACGTGCACCGGCAGGCTCTAGAGCGCCTGTGCGTGTTCTGTGGCCCGGGCTGACCCCTGCAGAACCTGGCTTGAAAGGAAGGGAGAAGGGAAAAGAAATGCCCCTGATCCACATCCACCTAGGCCCACTGCAGAGAAGACTTCTCCCTCGCCGACCACCATCCCTCGCGGGTGGACACCACAATGACAGCGACATGCAGTAAGCTGGACATCCGACACGGGGGCAAGGAGGGAGGGCGCAGCCAAGGAAGGGCAGTGAGTGAAGCACGCCCCGCACAGACAAAGGTGAAGGGAAGACAGGCTTCTGTGTCCCCCTGGACCCAGACCCCCACCTGACCACTCAAGGACATTAGTGAGCTTAGAACCAGGGCCAAACAAGAACAAAGTGTGTGTGGCTTGCCAAGCCTCAGCCCCAGCTATGCCAGTGTGCCAAGGGAGTGTTGTCCCTTCACCACTTCCTCCAGGCCACCCCAACCGAGGACCTGTCCTAAAATACTCAACTCGCCGATTTGCCCCTGGGCAAGAGGATGTTTCACACTGTAGGATAGCTGAGGTTGGTCAGGAAACATGACCTCACACTCTGGGTTAAGATTCGCGGTGGGGTGTTGGCAGTGGGGGCTGGAAGTTAAATGATCCCTTGGGGGTTAGTGGCAGGGGCAGGAGGCCAGGGCTGGAGGGGAGCACACGGTCACACCACTGGAATGCTGACTTGGGTCTTCGGCTGGTCGGCCCCTTCTTGCATGTCCAGGGCATGAGAGCTGAGGGGCTTGAGGGGCCGGCTCCCAACACTGTAATTTCTTGGACGCCTTATTGTATTCGAACTGGACAGAGGCGTGAAGCTGTTCCTTCTCATCCTTACAGGGGTTTGGTTCTTGGGGAAGTTGTTCTGATTGGAAATGGAGGGACACCACACAAATGAAAGGCAAGCCAAAGGTGCACTCATAAAGGTTAAAATGCTCGTAGCCACAGCAGCCTCCTCCACTGCCGCTCCTCTGCAGATAGTCTCCCATAAGACACGAGCCGTGGCCTGGCCCCCCAGCCCCAGGACCGCAGAGGGAGTGTCTCCTCGGGCACCACACTCCAGAGCAGGCAAGGGGGCCAGAGAAGGAGGGGCTTCCCCTAGGGACGCACAGTTTGTCAGGACAGACCTAGGAACGGACCTGCACCTCTTGACCCCACCTCATAGGCAACTCTGGATCCTGCATTCTACAGGGAGCACTTCCTGGGGGGAAAATCTGCATTTTACTTCAGCCAAACACTTCGATATTTCATTGGATTTCCAGGAGCCAACTTTCAAGGTTAAGACTCATGAGAGAGGTACTAATTTAAAAAAATAGTCATTCTAACACCTCTTCCTTTTGGAAGTAAGCAGACTAAGAGGACATGGAGTTCTGGGTCTCTGTCCCCTTGGTACAGAAAAGAAACCCCAGACTCTTGATGCCAAAGGTTCAAGACTCAGGGAGGCAAGGCACCTGCACCCCACCTCTGGAAAAACACTTACAGTTGGCTTGTCACGGTGGGTGTTCACCGCCTCCACATTGAGTTTAACTGTTTCCACTTTGCACCCTGAGAAAACAGAAAAGAGATTTTTTTTTTTTTGCCTTTTCCTGAGGACAAGAAAAAAAGTCAAGGGAAAATGCTTTAGTTTCATTATGGAAAAGCAGACCATCAAAGAACGTACGTATCCCCAGTGCATACATACATATATACACACATACACACATGTATACACACGTACATATATACACATATACACACATACATTTGAAAATGAGAAGCACTGAGGAATGTCCCTGGTGTACGCGGGTGAGGCAGCTGAACTTCTAGACAAACTTCAGGGAGAATTTTAAAATCCCTCCCTTCCTCAATCCCACCTCCTGCCCAGCTCCTAAGCTCATAGTTACCGTAGGCCACCGGAGTGAGTTTGAAGATGGTATGGAGAGGGCACCTCAAGTATGGCAGCTCATCTGGAAGCAGAAAGACCAGGTGAGGGAAGTCTGTAGCATCACGCAGTAAGGTCAAGGCAGTGGAAGACACACTCTAAGAAGCTCATGCATTTCCTCTACCCTGACCTGTGCAGTTCCTCCCCTAGGCCCCAGACAGTGACAGGACAGCCACCCAAGCTACTGAGTGGTTCATGAAGGAAACAAGTCCATTTTAGATCCTTCCACTGGGGCAAAACAGAAGTGCTAAGGCCAGGACCCGCTGAAGGGAAGACTGTGGCCCACCTGGGTACACCGAAGGCCAGTCTGCAGGCTTCCCAGCAGCTCAGGTAGATCCGGAAGGGAAGGGAAATACCGGGAAGGCAGCAGCACTTTCTTATGGCTCTACCCAGAAACTGGCCTACCCTGAATCCAAAGGGCGAAGATGCTTCTAGGATACTACCCTCCTCATAGCCAAAGTAACAAGCCGGACATGTTCAACCACTTTTCTGATGCTGACGGGAGAGTCCGCTCAGCGCTGGCCCTTCAGCCAAGCAGGGTCAAGGAGCTCCAGCAGCAGCCACTCTCCCCTGGGGGCTTCTGTGCCAGCAGAATAAAGTCAGCAAGCAGCCGGCCCAGTGGCTGCTGGGAGCCCCACTCCGTGGCCTGAAGAATGTACTCCAACTTGCGTGGAGGAGGGGGAGGTCCGGTTGCCGGGGATCCTGGAGCCACCCCAAACCCAGCTCTCCCCCATGGATGTGTCCCCTGGCCCTTCCCTCAGATGGCACCTGCGCCCTTATCCAAGAAGTAGGCCAGCAGGCAGCGCATGACAGCCTGGTGGGAGATGACGAGGACGTTGCCCTGACGCTCCAGCTCCATGATGACAGGCTCCAGCCGCTGCACCAGGTCCTGGTATGACTGGGGGGGGAGTGGGGCAGGCTGGTAGGTGGCCAGGCACAAGCTGGCAGCCACGGCGGCGGCTGGGTATGCCGGGCCCAGTGGCTGGGCCACTTCTTCCCCAGCTGGCTTCCCTCCTAGAGGTTTGGTGACTTCATGCCGCCTGCCAACTGCCCCCAGGCTTTTCAAGAGCAACATTCAAACTGAGAAAACTACAGGTCGAGCAGAGAAACCCGATTCAGTCTGGTTTTTTCCTTCCCGCAGATTCGCAGAGTGTAAGGCAACAGGGCTCCTGGGGGCTTCCTGGACCCCTGCCATTCTGCTGTATTTATTTGTATATGTTTGCCTCATGCATCCCTAGAGCATAAAGCCACTTAAGCCAGGAACCAGCCTAAAACACCAAAGATGACAGAGAAATCATTCATAACCCATACATTTACTTGGTGCCTATACCCGCTAGGGTGAGGGTGGGACTGAGGGAGTGGAATAAAAAAAGTAGAAAAGATTGTGTTTATTCTACAACATAATCAACACAGAAGACACCCTCTCACCCTTTCCCCTGGAGATCTTAAAAATTAATGAGCCTGAGCTGAATTAAACTGTGTATGACCTGAAGGTGGGAGGGTAAACTAAACTTTATCTTGACTAGCCTGTGCAGACCCCGCAAAGCACATTCAATCCTTCCCCCAAACAAAAGCCAAGGCCCCAGCAGAGGGCTGGGCAGCACCCTCACGTGAGGGGAATCTCACCTCCCCGCCAGGGTATCGATACAGGTACTTCTCTTGGTCTCGAAGCGCAAACTCCTCCGGGTACTGCTTCTCGATCTCTGCATAGGTCATCTCCTCGCACACGCCCTGCGTGGAGCCACCCCGGCTTGAAGCGCAGACAGACGCAGGCAAGGGCACCCGAAGAAGGAAGCCCATGCCGAAGACTCCCAGCTATCCTACTAGGCGCCGGCACTGAGCAGGCACCACGGCTGCCTGGCCAGGGTGTTTGGGGCAGCTGTGGAGGGGACGCAGCAGCTTCTCTAGAGGTAGCCGCCGCTTTCTCCTACTACTGCGGGGGATTTCAAGGGCAAGAAAAGTCAGTGGGATAAAAGGAACAGGAAGCGGAGAAGCGGGGAGCCTGAAGGGGCTGGAGAACTCCTGCGGGAGCCTTAAAAGGGCGCAGAGGAACGGGAGACGGAGAAGTGCCTACTTTTGTGCTTGAGGACAGAGAAAGCCAAGAAAAAATTTGGAAGAAGGTTCCCAGAGTTGCTGACCAACGGATCTAAGCAGAAATCAAGCGGTGAGCTATTTCTTTTTAAACACATAAAGGAACAAAATGGGGCCCCACTGACCCGGGGCCCAAGGGCCTAGGTGAGAAAGGGTCTGAATGCCGCATCGGCCCAGGTGCTCAAGCAGGCAGCGAGCCCTGCTAGAGGTGCACCTGTTCCCTCTTCCTCCCCAGATCGGCCACAGACTCAGCTTCCTTGAGTTTCTACCTGGGGGTTCTAGTTTCTGGCTAAAACTGCCCACATCACGACTTTTGAGAGTTGCCGTCCAAACAGGAGACTTTTACTGGCTTCTTAGCCGCCGGAGCTCCCTACTCACAGCGTCAATCTCATTCAGAATCTTCCACTGCTCGTAGGTCACCCCCAGGGATTCAGCTGTCTGGATAGTCCTCCTCAACTGGCTCGTCCACACTTTGAGGTCCGCTATCTCCTGTTCCTCTAGAAACTTCCTTAGGGCCTGGGAAAACTGAAGTTTGGAAAAAGAAAAGAAAAGGGAGAGAAAACACAACACACATGACCACTAACCTGGCCAATAAAGGACGATGTGTATGACCTCAGTCAAAATCTCAGAGGTGCTACGTCGTTAAGGTAAACCCAAGAGGAAATGAACTTTAATGGGAGCACCCTGTCTTGTGCTGAGCACACAAGTCATACCCCAATAAATATCTGATAGCTGAATGAACAGCAGAAATGGTTCCAAATTATCCACACTACAATACAGCAAACGAGAAAACGTCCCTAAATGCCTGCTTCACTATCTGAAAACACAGGCTAAGCCCCAGCAGGATTTAGGAAGGAGTGAAGGGGTAAAAGAGATGACCTCCACCGTGCCCTTCTAACCCCAGGCCTAGGAGGCCCAGCCTGCTGGCTAACTACTCACCTGCTTCCCCCGCACAGAGAGACCAGAGTCACCTCCGATCTTCCCCAGGAGATTGAACTCACTCTCTCCGTGCCGGCAAAGGTAAATGGTACGAGGCTGGACATGGATATTCATGAGGTAGTAGACGATCTTGCTCTGGATGTAGTCCTGGACTCTGTTCACTAAAAACCGCTGGCCCACATTTATCACCTTGATGAAAGAAAGGTCCCTGAGACAGAGAAGGAAAAAAAGTGCCCTGGCTATGAAAATCTGAGGGTAACAGTAAGAGAAAGGATTTCCTTAGTTACCTGCAGCTCCAGCAGCTTTGCCTCCTCTCCACCTGTAGCCCACCCACTTTTCAGGAACCAAATGGCAAAAGATGAAATGCCCCCCAGAACTGAGAAGGAAAATGGCCCCAGTCAGGACCCCTTCTTCAGTGCCTATACTATGCCATTCAGTTTAGATAAATAAGGTAAACAGCATTCAGCCTTCTCGTCGGGGCTAGACTAGATGACCTGAAGATTTTGCTAGTCCTGGAATTTGGTGAGAAGCAATAACTCCCAAGACCCATGACTTGCAGTGGGGGGAGGAGACAAGGCAGTAGAAGCATAGAAACTTCTATGCACTCCCTGCACCCAACTGATTAGGCCTCTCTCAAAGGTGCTTCCACAGACTCTGCTTTGTGGCCATGATGGAACTTTCTTCATTGTAAAAATAATAAATGCTTATTCCAAAATAATTTTTTTAAAGGCACAATGATACAAATAAAAATCACTCATAACCCTACCACCAGAGAGAACATCTATAAACACACATACACCTCTTCCAGAATGTTTTTCTAGGTAGGACACTGGCTAACTAAAATGTACTGCCAGGCCATGTCTAGGGCAGTGTTTTTCAACTTCTGTATTAAGGAACACCTCCAAATTCTAACATTCTGTACAACCCACTTGAAGGAGCTTAAAGACTCAAAACATTAAGCAGACCACTGAAGCAGTTTAACAGTGGGTGACATGTGTCTCTGTATTTGCTTGGCACAGGGCTGTATTCTTATTTAAACAGAGCTGTTAAATGCTCTGACTGCGTGCTTTTGCAAAGGCTACATTCTTACAGGTTTCCATGTGCACACAGCTTTCTTAACAGGTACTTGACATTCCACTATGGTTCTTACATCTCACACACAACAAATTAACCCATACTATATACCACACTGCTGATAGATACTGCCATGTAATGATGGCTAACACTGATCAGACATTTCTCTGAGTCAGGCATGTTCCATGTTTTATTTATGTATTTTTTCAAAATACATTTGTATATATTTTATATGTTTATTATTTTAATCTACATATGTAACATATTACATGTATATATTCCTATACGTTTTACAAAAGTATGTATTTCTCTATTACAGATGCTGTAATTCATATGTATATATGACATAATATATAATATATATTCTACCTATGCATTAATGACATATAACATATACATGTGTACACACACACACACACACATATGTATATATACACACAATAAACTTTAAAAGTGACCAAAGACAATGATACATCTCTGAGGGTGTCCTACAACAACCCAAGATCAGAACGACTGATCTCAGCAGTGGCTCCCAGTCACTGGGGGTGATTTTGCTCCCCAGGGACGTTTGGCAATGTCTGCAAACATCTTCGGTTGTCACAGCTTGGAAATGTTACTAGTATCTAGAAGCCAGGGATGCTGCTAAATCCTGCATCGCACAGGACAGCCCCCCACAGCAAAGAATCACCCAGTTCAAAATGTCAGTAATGCTGAGGTTGAGAAATCTTGCCCTAGAGGACAGAGAGGAAGAACTGATGACAGAAAACACTTCCGTGTTCAAGTACAAGATGCAACCTGCAAACCCATACCTTGTTTCTCTGGAATGACATAAACATCATGGGTCTGGATTGTCAGCAGGAAGTGTGGGGGCAGAGGGATAAAGACTCTTTCCTCAAATGAGACCCCTGCCTCAAGCCCTTCAAACCAGGGCCTTTAACCTTACTTGTCATAGTTGTCTGGGTCAAGGGGTCGATAAGTGACCTTGTAGCACTCGATTCTCTTTAGGAAGTCCTCCATCACGTTCTCCCTGTTCCTTTCAGGGTAGTCAGGGCTCGAGACCTTTACCTCCTGGAATCACAGGAAGAGCATGGCCCGGTCAGAGGTCTGCCCTTGACAGCCCTCTTGTGAACAGCCTGAGCTAGAGGAAGAGAAGGAAGCCCACAGACCGACCTTTCACTAGAGCCCTGGCGTCCCTGTTCCCTGTGCACCTGCTCTCTGCCCTGTGCCTCTGGCAACCAAGAAAGCAAAGACAGCTGGGGAGTCATGTGCTTGCCCTTGGCTGAGAGACAGAGGCACTCATGCAGCTAACGCTGCTCCTGGGCCCCAGTCCCTTTATGTACCTTCCTGGGAAAACAGAATGGGCTTGAATTTTGTCCTGTGACTACTCAGAACAGGGTATTGATCTGATGCATGCCTGACTTGGACCAGATACCTCTTCTTAGACCTTCCCAAGTTCCCAGGGTGCTGCGAGAGCACCACATGAGACCACACATGGGTGTCTGCTCTGCACAGCACAGCACAACCCACCAAATGGGCCTGGCTTATGCTGCGGCCACAGGGCATGAGATGCTCAGGGCATACAGTGCTGACCTGAACATTACACCTGTAGTGGGCAGATGACCTTCCTATAAGGTGGCCCTGACAGATAATGAAGAGTCTGATCTATATGAAAAACATACCTAGGCCTCAGCACCCAGCTAATACCCAAACTCAGGACCAGGAGTACCACAGTCTAAGTTCTGGCCTCCACTCAACAGCTAATTCTTATTTTATTCCTCAAAGCCTCTGTTTGTGCTCCCCAGGGAAGAGTGTTGGGTGCAAAATGATGGTCTGGCAGATCAAAAAGATCACCCGGTACTGCTGAAGATACTTTTCTTTCTTTCTTTACCCACTTGACTCTCTCCCTTAATACACACACAGAAGGCACAAAGGATCAAGAGGGAGTGGTAAGCAGGGGTGTCACCTACCAGGATGTTGGCAGCAATGACATCAGGATCATCACAGACAGATTCCACAAAGAATACCTGCCCAGGGAGAGAAGGAAGTGATAATGAATTAAAAAATACCAGGCTGCTGATTAAAAGCACATGCTCATGCCTGCCCACCCCAAACATCACGTCCCCCAGGACTTTCTTCCATGAAAGTGGCCTTCATGGCCCCTTCATTTAAAAATAGCTCTTACCACATCCCCAAGGCCTCAGACATACAGGCTAAGGGTCTAAGAAAGGACCTGAAAGAAAACACTCAAGGATTGGGAGTATGACCCGAGAGGAGAGAATCAGATACCCAATCCTGTCCTCGCCCACCAGGGTCAAACAGATCTGCATGTCCCTCCCAACTGCCCACCTCCACTCATCCCCTTTCCTCCAGCATGGAGTCGGAGCCTACCTTGAAGGAATTCTCCTCGGCAAAGTTCAAAATCATGTCCCTCCGCTCCCTAGTGGTATTTGTGGCGTCAAACACCTGGGAAGAGAGCCCATGGGGGTTGAGTGGGGAGGATGGATCCCAGCAAGGCGGCTCCAAGGAGGGGCTGCGGGGCCAGGCGGCTGCAAAGGCAGAGCCCCGGGCGGGAAGAGGCAGCTGAGGCTCACCGCAATCTGCCCGCTCTCCTCAGTGAGGTAGGTCTTAACGTCGCCCAGCGCCACCAGAGCACACCGTCTGCCAGGAGAGCAGAGGACTAGAGGGATGCCAGCTCTGCAGAGCCAGCGATGAACGTGAACGGAAGGGCTGCTCGGGAGTTGCGTCCCTTCCTGCTTAGTTTTCCCAATGGTCAAAATTATTCCCCGACAAGACTTTTCAACTCCCCCACTGAGGTTTTTACACCATCCTCTATCTTTCACATCCCCCACCCCATGCAGGTATCTTCTCTCTCTGTAGGCCTGGCCTACGGACATACGTGCATCTCCCGAGCCCTGTTCTTCTACCCAGCCAAGCCCGAGGTGACCTGTCCAGCCAGTAACTGCCACTTAAACCCCCCACAGGATATTTACTGAGAGGAGAACCAAGCCCTGTCTCACCCAGGCTCCTGATGGCTGAGAAAGGGCCGGCCTGCAGGTCGGGCCTAAGACTCACTTGCGGATCTCCATGGCCTCCTCATTGTCGTGCCGGAAGAATTCATAGGATTTATAGGACTTGACAGCTTCACGCCGATACACCCCAAGATTAAACACTGCAGAAGACAGCAACACCCTTCGGCAGTGACACCATACAATAACCCCACTGAAGAGGGTTTCTCGGTCTAATGCCAAAGTGCCCAAGGGGATTCAGAAAGAGTACGATGGCGCGTTAGGAACAAGACCTGACTGACTGAAAGCCAAGTTAGGTTCCAGTTCAGAATTACGAGACCTTGGACAAGTCTTAAGCTGAGCTTCGATTTCCTCAGCTACTCTGGCTCTTTCACGGGGGCATTGCTAGAATTAGACAAGACGATGTAGGTATAAGGGCTTTGAAAATGTAAAGCCCTAAACTATCAGAGGCATTCCCTCGGAACTAGGCCAGGAGAAGACACATCTGTGAACAAATCAGGAAGCAACCAGTACTTCTGCCAGGAGCACCTTATAACTTCGATACCAAGGAGACTAAGTCTCCCAGAGGCCTGTGAGGCCCAGGAACGGATCATCCCCATTCCCCAGGAATGAATAACCCGCACGTACCTTTGGTGGGCACCCCAATCCAGTTGAGGTAGCGTGTGAGTTTCTTGGACACATAGGTCTTGCCCCGGGCTGGCAAGCCAATCATAACGATAAGAGTTGGGGAGTTGGTCATGTAGGAGGCCCATGCTAGAGGAAAATGCAAAAGAACAGACGAAATGACTAAAGAACTAAAGGTTCGTGCACTGGGCTGGGAACTCCACAGTCGGGATCTCATTTAACCCTCATAAACTTCAGTGAGGCGAGTTCGGGGAGACTGAGAAGCTCTCGGGCCACCCCTCCCAAGAGAGAGCTGAAGGGTCACGCAGACTTCAGAGGGTACCCAAACCAAAACATGGATTCCTTACACAGCCGAGGTCTTCAGAGTATCCAGTCGGAGAGAAGGGACAAAATGGTAAGGATGAGAAAGACAGTACCTTCCCTGTGTGAGAACGTCTAGTTAACAGGAGAATGATACCATTGTGAAGGGCGGTCTAACGCTTGGAGATTCTACCAATGCAGAACTGAGTTGGCTTCCCAAGTAGGTCCAAAGGTTTCTATCCTGAGGAATCCACCCATTCCTTCAGAGCCAGGGGCCAGATTAGCTTGCCCATTTAAAAGGAGTCTGGCCTCAAGCTGTTTTGGCCTTTGCACTCAGGACACAGTTTAGGCAGAACTTCTAAATCATGGTGAGATTGAGACTATGGCAAAGGCTACCTGACGCCAGGTTCCTCACTAGACTCAGGAAGCTTCATGGTAAAGCGGCATCTCAGCCAGCCTGTCCCACGGCCCGTATGAAACCAAAACGATTTAGAAGCAAGATTCACAGGTCCGCCCTTCCTTAGGGAACTTATTTCAGGAATGCTCAGTCACAGAGACAGGGCTCACTGCACACGCGACTTGCTAAGGATACACGATGAGTCCTGGGAAGAATCGTGCCACAACACAGACCTTAAAGGAACCTGTGATTCCTCATCATCTCGCTCACAGAGGGTGACGCCTCCCTGCCCATCGACCTCAGAGGAGTGGGGAGGGAGGGGCCCGCATGGCCGCCAGCCACTCTCCTGGGGCCAGCACCCAAACGGGGGTCCCCTTGCGGGGCTCAGGCTCTGCCGGCCCCCATGAGGGAAGGCCCTGAGCAGGAAGGGGACAGGAAAGAAAGGCTTCGCCTTCTGCTTCCCAGCACAGCTTTCCAGAGGGTGCCAGCAAGTTACTGCTGCTTCTCTGCTCTGGGACAAGGTGACTCTGTAAGGCTAAAGAAACAATTCAGGAAGACTGGGGTACTTGGATGGGAAGGTCACCTTTCTTATATTTTTGATAAAAGAATGTTAAAAAGATCTCAATGGAGAAGTAGCCGGGAGGGCCTGGGTAGAGAACTGACCTTGGAAGGAAGTTACCTAAGGGGGTTTGGCAAGAAGTACTCAGAAGCCAAAGATTGGCCCAAGTGGTGAGGGAGGGTAGGTGCCCAGAATTGGGGTCAGAGGGCTTGCCTTTTAGTCCATTACCCACCATGCACACAGAAAATTCCTCGGCCTTGGCCGAGGAGCCCCTCCAAGATAGGTAACGAGCAACATAAGATTTTCATCTCTGTCCAAACAGGGAGCACAGAGGCAAGCAAAGGCCACCCCGCAGCCTCAGCTGATGTTAATCCCTGACCTCTGACCCCTAACAGACAGACCGACTCTGCCTGGGCTCTGCTGCCTCAGGTTTCAGTAGTAAAATCCTCCTGACACTGCATTTCTCTAGCTCAGAACCACAAGTTGTCAACCCCCATGATTTGGCTCATTACTTGCAATTCTAGGCCTACTTTGTCTACACCATTCAGGCCATTAGTCACTTCCCCTGAAGGTTCTGCTAGCCTCCCTAAACATGAAAATGAACTGATACTTGGGAGCTGCTCTGACATCAACCAGGGAACCAGCTGCTCCATGTTTACCCAACTGTACAGAGGGTGTTAAGAAGAAAAGAGGGCACTGGTCACTGAAGACTCCATATGGTGCCCTCCAGCACACCCCCCACCTCTGCCCAGAACACACACACACACACACCTGCTGCAGCCACAGTTTCTCATTTTCTGGAGTACAAATCTAAACCATACTTCAAACTTGCAACATTGGCAAAACTAGGAACATTCTGTCCTGCCTGTTAAGAAATTAAACCACCACTACCTTAATTTGAACAAGAGATTTTCTTCATGCTGATAAATTTCAGAGACAATGTAACACACCCTTCACATATATTGGAAAGTCATTTCAATCCTGAAATTCTCTTTTCCCTTCTTTACATAAGGTTTAACTCACTTTCTCAATCTTAGACTTATTTCTCCTTCATGAACACACTTAGAGCGAATGAAGGCTTGATAACTTCCTTCCTAGAGACAGAAACCCTTCAGCCCAGAGAAATGAGGAGCATGGCCTACAGCCCCACAGCAGAAAGTCAAGGTCAGGCTCCTGGTTTCAGGCCTGCCCAGCGAGTCCCAGCCACCAGCTCTTGTCGGCACCTGACACAGGGAGCCATGTGGTCAGCACTGCGCTCTCGAATCTAATCCTGAAAGGTGGTCAGCGGTTCCTGGCCTTTTCATGACCGAGGCCTCTTCACTATTTGTTCTAAATAGGCCTCATAGTTTTTAAATATGCTGCACATTACATGTGTTTCATTGGTAATATCTTCTTTCTATTCACCAGGAGTCATAAAACTGCAGACCATCTCCTACTATTTGACTGACAGGCACAAAATATCCAAGTTCTGCAGACAAACACTAAGAAAGTTAACGTTTTAACCAGTGCAGCTGCAGTTAACAATGCCCAGTTTCCATTCAAGCACTTTGAAATATCAAAGAAAGCTAACAATATAAAACTTTTTATGAGAGTAAATTAGTAATGTTGATCAACATTTCAAATGTCTAATTTTTCTCCTATTATTTCTGTGGGAAGAGGTGCTAGCACAAACCTGCACAGGTGTATATGCAAGGATGCTGACTGAAGCACTGTCTGTGATGGTGGAAAATTGGAAACAACAGAAATGTCCATGTGGGGCTGTCATAGCCACACAATGCCATACTACACAGAAGACAGAAATCTGGATTTACTGACATGAAAACATTTAACACATTTTTTAAATGGCAGTAGAACTGAATACATACAGTGTGAACCTATTTTCACTAATAGAGTAAGATGTCAGTAAGAATCACATTTAACAGGGAAAGGAGCAATTGTGAGAGTTTTTTCACTTTTCAGTCTCCATATCGTTTGAACTTTTCCATGAACATGCGTTGATTTTGCTGTTTGGGAACGGTAACACATGGGAACTTGTCATTTCCTGACTTACTCAAAATGTCAAAGAATAAAAGAAACAAAGAAAGAAAAGCATGTATACCTACTCCCTGCCCAATGCCTGCTTTCACAGAGCCCTGCAGCCAGTCATCTGGGCACCATAAAGGGACCTCAGCCAGCACCCCCTCCCGCCCCCCTGTCCCTGGAGCAGCTGAAGTTCCAGTAATGCTCCTTTCGAGGTTTTGGCTCCCTAGAGGCATCCTTCAGCCCTCCAGCCCAGTCACCTCCCAGAGCTGAAGTCCAACACAGGTGTAATTAGCAGCAAGGGCATAACCGTTGAGCTTTTAATAAAGCAACTGCTGGGCGTGAACACTAAGCAGCCGGGGGAGTCTGTTCCAAGATACAGGCAAATAACAGGAAAAGGAAATAAACTAACACATATTCTCCTAAGTCTATTTTTCCTTTGACTAGGGTTGCAACAGTCTAACAGTCGGAACCCCGAGGGCAGAAGAGAGTGTGGTAAATGAATGATGGTGGCCTTAGGGCAAACCAGATACTTCCAGTGGGGCTGAAGAGGGTGGAGCTTGGAAAGGAGAAATCAGAGCCCAGAGCAAGGATTAAAGTCTAGAAGATGGGAAAGAGACCTGGGATTACTGCTTTCCTGATGATCAAGGCAAGAAAACTAAGAATTTGGAAGGCAGATAGACTCTCATGGACCATAGTGCAGAGGCTGGCCTGGCACCAGGCATTATGCAGGGTCAGAGACACCCACGATTACCATCTTTCCCCAGCCCAACTAGCTCTCTGCTCTCTTTCGGACCAAGTACACCTCTCCTTTAAGATGTGCATCCTGAACCCCATAATCTGGGTTGCAATATTGTCAAACAAGAGGAGAACACATTCTTTACTGAAAAACAATTATTCACAGGGCTCTTTTAGACAGTGAGCTCCCGGGGCAGCATTTAGAGTATAACTGATTTGAAATGTAATGTTTCAGGAATAAAAACAACATGCAAATAGAGTCACCAGTAAAAATTAATACCCCTTAGCTATGTGCCCAGCGCTCTTCTAAGTGCTTTTGTATATTTGCTCATCTAATTCTCACAGCACTCTGGAGGGAGAGACTATCAGCATCCCCATTTTATAAAGTTGTACATGGAGGGGATAAGCAACTTTTCAAGGGCTCACATCTGGAAGTAGTCAAACCAGGATTCAAACTCAGGCAGTCTGACTCCAGAGGCCAAACTCAAACCTCACGCTGTACTAGTTATCCCCCATGGGGTATCTGCCCTTGGGGCCTGGCTTCCTGTCCTGGCTGAGAAGGAGACCCTAATCCCAGGGTCACACCCAAGCTGGAGCTTCTGCTGGAGCCCGAACCCCAGCAAGCTTCACTGGCACTAGATGAAAAGCAATTGTCCCTGTTAATCATGAGACTGACAAGGACATGACACCAAGGCCTAGACTCCAGGGAAAGCTCTGAACATGGGATGTTTCCAGGTCTCATGCTGCCTGGCTGTTCCACCTGGGGATACATATATATAACCACTGAAGTGAGAACTGATTGACAGGGTCCCAATCTGCGGGCAGCAGCAGCAAGGGCTAGTGTTCCTTGAGGTTCCCTGAAACAGCTGGGGAACAGGTGCCCAGGACCTTGTGGAGCGGGGGATGTAGTCTTGCAGGCAGTAGCCATGCTCAGGCACACAGATGTGTGAGGACAGAGAAGGATCTCTCTGCAAACCTCTGCTTGTGTGTCTCTGTCTGAAGAACTGGCATGAAAATGCTCCTGTGAAACCTGTCCCCGCAGGAATGAACCTGCAAGGAAAATAGTTTGCAAAGTGCAAAGGTGGTGGAATCTGTGAAAATGGAAGGTGCCCAAGTCACAGTCAGAAGTCAAATGCCAGCGCCGATTCTCCTGAGGCCTGTAGAAATGAGCTACTACTGGCTCCTACCTACAATTTCACAGTGAGCAGTGCCTCACAAAACCTAGCCTGAGAGATAAAGAGAAACTGTTAACACTATCAGTCCCAAGTAATTCCTGCCCCCTGCCACTCTTGTTCTGACCATCAACATCAATCAAGTGTGCAGGTACCCCCAGGAGAGAGAGATTCAGTGACAGAAAGCAGTAAGAAAATGCTGGGCTATTCTCGCAGCCCAGTCCCAAGGACCAACATTTCACTGAGTCATTTGTTTCAGACAGAAAACCCCCCTTGTAGACTGTTTTCCATTCCCATGTCAAATTATCATTTCTCATTCCCACCAAGCAGCAAAGTCGAGGATTACAAACATATTCCCAAGATAAAGGAGGGGGGAGCTTTTCCCCAGAACTCACAGCATTTCTTCTCTGACATTCGAAGATTTGTGGTTTTGGTTTCACAGCTGTTGTTCTGTTCTGAGGAAGAGGCAAAATTCCCGGACATGGCAGCTCTTCAGGAGATGTCTGGAGGGGACAAAAGGAATGTAAGGAAGGGCAGGGATGGAAGAAGAAAGCACTCAAAACACTCAGTGAGGAGGATCAGTGCCATCCGGACCAAGAGCCAAGTCCAGCTCTCACCCAGTTACCAGCTGTATGCCCTTGGAAAAGCCCTGTTTCCTCACCTATGAAGGGAGGTGCACTGCAACCTTGCATTTATAGTGCAGACTGGGGGGTTTACATTCACATAATTGTCTCCTTCAATCCTTCCAGTAATCCTTGTAATAAGGCAGCTTTTGCTACCATTATTACTTTTCCCCATTTTAGATTGAAAACCAGAGGTTAATCAAATTAAGTGGCTTTGCCAAGTTCCTTCCTGACCTCCAAGTCTAGTCTGGGAATCTAGGGAGTGTAGTGGCAGCATATGGGGGTGGGCTGGGTTGCAAAGAGATTAAATTTGCTATCATAAAGTAACTGCAGTCCAGTGGCAGGATTCAGTCCTGAAGAAAATTAGAGAAATTGGAAAAATCTCAAACAGGTTCCCATAAGGAAAAGCTGTAACTGCACCCTGAGACAGTCCTAGCAAGTCACCATTGCTCCTCTGGTGTTCTCATTACCAGGCTCTTGCTCCGGCATCTTCTCCCCAGCTGTCCCCTGGGACTTGGTCTATACAAGGAACACTAGGGCGCAAAGAGGTGGTACATGACCTCCCCAAGGTCAGCTGCAGAATAAGGGTCAGTCCTGACTCAAACTGGGGTGGAAGAGCCCGCAGCTCACTCCCAAAACCCAGACAAGGGACTCGTGAGGACCCTAAGTTCCTACTGCTTCAAGGACCCTGCACCGTTCTTCCACTGACTACACAAGTCCAACCCAAACACCAGTTGTGGCTCCCAGTCCCTGAACGTCCGCACTCTCGGCAATGCCCGGCGGCCAGCACTTCCCCGCAGCAGCGAGGCATCGTTGTCCTGCTCACCATCCAAGCGCACGCAGCCTCCCTCCTCCCGCACCCCCCAGGCTCTTCAGGCGCTGCACCGCTGTCGCTCACCCCACGACCTCTCCTAAGATCCCTCCTGGCAGTGGCCCTGGCACTTCCCTGGTGCGCTGCAGACAGGAGCCGACCGACTGAAGCGGGCGCGGGAGTCGCCGGCAGATCACGTGCCCGGGCCTGGCTTCGCCAACACCCCGTTGGTGCTCACCTGGAGAGAATCGCTGACCAATCGAGCGCGCGCAGGCTCCAGGGGCGGGGCCCAAATCGGAATCGCTGACGTTTGCTCCGGTTGCGGGATGAAACTGGGAAGGCGAGGGATCGCAAGCTCTCAAGTTGCCCAGCACCGTGGAGGTTGGTTGCATCGTTGCTTGGCAACTAATAGGGCTGGGGGAGGAGTTAATTCTTTAAAAACCCTACTCTTTTCACACTCTCGCGAGAGTGAACTAAATGGCCCAATGCAGTGGGTGGGATTTGGGGGAGGGGGGTGGAAACCTAAAAGAAAAAAAAAAGTGCAAGTAACGCTTTCCTCACCGAATCCCAACGGGACCTCGTTAGATTCATAAATTGGGACGTAAGCTTTAGAAGGGGCTTTTCTAGAGTAAGGGACCATAGCATCTGAGCTGAGTACACCATAGGGTGTTTGCCTATGCTTCCCACAGGCCAGCCATTGTAACTTGAGAAAATCAGCTCCTCTCTTCGCTGAACCAGGAGCTTTGCGGGACCCATCCACATACTCCAGGGGACTTCTAACCGCCTTCTTTATTCTCGGTCCTACCTCCCACTCTATTCCATCTGTTCTGGTCGTCTTGAAGAACCAAAGAGGAAAATTGCTCCAGCAGGAAACAGTCATGAAAGATGTGAAAAGATGCAGTTTCTATATAACGTATGCAGAGGTAGAGGCTTTTACACAAGAGGTGAGTTTGTGTATTTCAAGTAGACTTTTGACAGTTGCCCCCAGGCGCGTTTGACCCTTAATTCTGTTGGTAAACCCACTTTATGCAGGTTAGGACTTGCTGCTCTAGAACCAGGATGCAAAAAGAACAATGAGTATAGGTTTCTTGGAAGAGAGATAAATTGAGCGAAGTCTATTCCTCCTTCACCTGGGGATTAAATTCATCCTCTCAAACAGCTCAAAAAGTATCTCCTCTTTGAAGCTTTTAACAACTCCCAGTGTGTTTATAGTTGCCTTCTCTGCCCCTCTACAACGCTGTCTTTATCCATTCAGCAAGTATTACCGAGCACTTATTTGCAAGGCACAGTCCTAGGTTCTAGGGATACAGGATTGAAAAAGGTCACATAATGTAGCATTATCACGTTGCTGTGAAACGCAGTGGTTATGTATCTTCTACACCCCAGCCTCTCTCCTGATTGTAGTGAGTGCTTGTTATACCGAAGGCAGGAATGGCGTCGCCTTCATATTTGTATGCCCAGGGCCTGAACTGGAATCTAGATGACACATCCTCTTCATTCCTCCTCCTTGTCCTGCCGCCACCTGAGTGTAGCAATTTCCCTGGACCCCGATGCTGACCTCATACTGCGTTTTCTGATGTGGCCAATGGACGTTTTCAAGTTACAGTCTCGTGGAGGTGGAAAGGCCCGTCCTCTGACCCCCTTCACCCCAATCAGTGAGTCAATGTTTGCTGCAGCCATGAGTCTGGTCACGAGTATCTGATTGTTTTTGTCAATACCTTTGACTCACTGACCATTCTTGGCATTCGTTTGCGTTCTGAACTGTGCTTCTATTTCTCCCGGTGTAGTTTGGAAGCCCCAGTGTAATCATTTCTGACCTCACCAAGTGCAAGGTTACATTCCGATGTACTCAACTTGGGAACTCCTTCCCCGCCCCCTTCCCTTGAGGATATATGCTGCCGACTCAGAGGGCACCTCATTCGCTCGACAGGCAGCAAGACCAGGTGTACTTTAGGAATACGGATAAATCTTCATCCTTTGGCTCCGAAGGGTTAGGGAACTAGCTGTCACTTTAAGAGAGCTAACTCCTGAAGTGCCAAGGCGGAACCGGGCATCAAAATATCGCGAGAAGTGTCACCGCCAGCAACTTCTCGCGATGTTTGGCCCGGCAAAGGGTGGCCATTTTGGAGTCCGTCCTGGGGCTGGTTACCCCGGCGGCGTTTGTCAACCTGCTGCCGGGACCAAAGCTGGCCCCGCGGGTGTATGGCCTGTGGGCACCGGGACCGACACAATGTGGCGGCTCCGCTGCAAGGCCAAGGATGGCACCCATGTTTTGCAGGGGCTGTCCAGCCGAACCCGGGTGCGAGAACTCCAGAGCCAAATTGCCGCCATCACCGGGATCGCGCCGGGCTGTCAGCGAGTCCTGGTCGGATACCCGCCCGAGTGCCTGGACCTCAGCAACGGGGATACCATTCTGGGGCATTTGCCCATCCAATCAGGTAAGGGAATCGGGGCCGGGGCCTTGGGAGGACGAAGAGGGGCGAGAGGGAGGACAGTACCAGTCAAGGCAAGGCGGCTGTGGGCCAGCTGGGGCTGTAAGGACAAGAGTAAGGATAGAGTAAGAAACAGAGGACTCTGGCGGAGGCCGGGGCACGTGTCTGTCCATATGGTTGAAAGAAACAAGGGCCCAACCCATACAAGAAGCCCAAAACCTTGGAGTCCCCCCTTTCCCAGTAGCTGCTTTCTGTTCTACCTTGAAAACGTCTCCTTTTTGTCTTCCCTCTGCCTGCACAAAAGTAGGGCCTATTTTCTCCGAACTGATCGCTCTTTTACTCTATAGCCCTGAAAAAAGAGAGCAGGTCTGAGGGATGCAGGATGTTTTTCTTAGTTGCTTTCCTGGCCCGTTTTTGGAGTTTGCTTCTTATACACTTGGACAGGTACACTCACTGGAGGGCTGGCTTTTACACGTCCACTTAAAGACCCGTTCAAGTTCTACACAATAGCAGTTATTTCTGGCCAGCATTAAAACTTGAAGAGCAGTATTGGTCAGTAAAAGCTTTCAACTGTTGTGTCACGAATCCTGTAAACACTAAACAGGATGGATAATGGTACGTTTCAGAAGGAAGAGAACCCCCTAGTGGTGGTCCAATCAATGGTAAACACCTTTTAGAAGATGTGTGCTTTTAAAATGCCGAGCAAGCATCAGGAAATTTTGTTCTTGAAATGTATCTTTTTTTTTTTTAACTGATGTCTATTTTTATTTTATTTTTTATTTTTTTTATTTTTTTTGAGAGGGCGTCTCTCATATTTATTGATCAAATGGTTGTTAACAACATTCTGTATAGGGGACTCAATGCACAATCATCAATCAACCCCAAGCCTAATTCTCAACAGTCTCCAATCTTCTGAAGCATAACGAACAAGCTCTTACATGGTGAACAAGTTCTTACATACCGACTAAGTTCTTACATGGTGAATAGTACAAGAGCAGCCATCACAGAAACTTTCGGTTTTGATCATGCATCATAAACTATAAACAATCAGGTCAAATATGAATATTCGTTTGATTTTTATACTTGATTTATATGTGAGTCCCACATGAAATGTATCTTTGTAAGTTAAGGATAAAGTTGTATGACCCAGGCCCCTTCAGTAAATTGGGGTGCAACCTGAGGTGCTTTGCTTTTTGTTCTGGTTTCATCTTTATGAAGATTCATTGACCAAGAAGTGTTGCTGGTCACTTGTTTGCAAGGCTGTGTTCCCCCTAGTAATCCCAGCTTATACGTTTCACTCTTTGTGTTGTAATTTTACAGTCGTGGCTAGCAAACACCCAGTGGCATCTATAATTTCTCTGCAGTTGTGGATTTGTTTTACTTTTCACAGGGGACATGCTGATCGTTGAAGAAGACCAAACCAGGCCCAGAACTTCACCTGCCTTTACAAAACCTGGTGCTCCTACTTACGTCAGGGAAACGCTGCCTGTGCTAACCAGAGCCACAGTGCCAGCAGACAACTCATGCCTCTTCACCAGTGTGTACTATGTTGTCGAAGGTGGAGTCCTGAATCCAGCCTGTGCCCCCGAGATGAGACGCCTCATAGCACAGATTGTGGCAAGTGATCCCGGCTTCTACAGTGAGGCCATACTGGGAAAAACAAATCAGAACTACTGCGACTGGATCAAAAGGGATGACACATGGGGAGGAGCTATTGAGATATCCATTTTGTCTAAATTTTATCAATGTGAAATTTGTGTAGTGGATACACAGACAGTAAGAATTGATCGTTTTGGGGAAGATGCGGGATATGCCAAAAGGGTCCTGCTTATTTATGATGGCATCCACTATGATCCACTTCAGCGGGAGTTCCCTGACCCGGACACCCCTCCTCTGACCATCTTCTCCTCCAATGATGATATTGTTCTTGTACAAGCCCTGGAATTAGCAGAGGAAGCTAGAAGAAGGAGACAGTTTACTGATGTAAACCGCTTCACCTTGAGATGCATGGTATGTCATAAGGGATTAACTGGACAAGCAGAAGCAAGGGACCATGCCAAGGAGACAGGCCATACCAGCTTTGGAGAAGTGTGATCGCTGCATGATGAGGGTTGGCGCCTACTACCTCACAGATCCAGAAGGCTCTGGGTTTTCCAATAAGCTATTCGTAGCCCTAAAGAACAAAAGGACATAGTGCTTGAACCATCCTTTTAACTCAAAACCACTAAGACGCTGAAATTCCTTGTTAAGATTAAAATTAGTGTGCAGGTTTACAGATGTGTGTCTATAGTTGTGAGACATGCCCTCTTTCTGCTGGAGTGACAGAATAGGTGGTCCGTGCTTCCCGTTGACACTAACCTGAAGATTGAGTTTCAGTATTATAAACTAGTACCCAGCAGCATTAACTTGCGGAAGAAAACAACTTCACATTTTGGGTAGTGTGGAAGGCCTCGTGAAGTCACTGGACGTAAACCACAGTGTCTCAGTAATTCTGAGTCCTTTTAAAAACTCTGAGATAATAGTTTCTCAATTACGAATTGATTCCTCAAATGAAGATGCTCAAAATTGTCAAAACTGATTTTTTTATTGCAATTTGGTAGACTTTATAAATGTATATTTAACCAGTGATAAATATATAACAATTTTTACAGGGATGAATCTATTCCTTGAAAACTGCTAGTGCCCAATTTAGGATTTTTAGTGTATAAAAGTAGAATGTATTAGGGGAAAGGTGCCTGAGCCGCTTACCGAAGCTTTAAAAGACCACTGGCCTCATGTTTTAGTGAAACTCATGTATTGATCTTTGTTACATTGGATAAAGTTTTACATTTAAGCAGGGTATTGTTTTTAATGGAAGTTCCTTGGAATTTCAGTGCTCCATTTTTGCTTTTTTACATAAAGATTTCCCTGGAGGGATTTAATTTCCTCAGCTTTTTGTCAGGAGCATTTCTCCAACTCCTAAAAAAAACATCTGAAGTGGTGACGCTGCGCTTTGGTTCGTTTCTGTGAGATCTTCTGCTCCCCTGAACAGTGCTTGTTTTCATGCTCAGCCGAATCCTGCCACGAACGCTGTTTTGAATAATTTCAATTTCATCAATTGTTTTGAGTAATTAGCACTTTGCTTATCCACGATCTTTTGACTTTTAAAGAGTTTTAAAGGGATTGGGGTCATAATGTTGAATGAATTTATTTCACTTCCAAAACATGACAGTTTTTTAAATCCCTGCCTTATTCAGCTTTCTCAGAATTCTGCTTCTTGCTGTTATTAGATGTGCAGCCGTTTGCTTGGTGGGCTCGTCCACAAGGCACATCCTCTAAAACTTAGTTTCACTATGAGATCTTCCCGATAAAAGTTTTCTACCTCTTTTCGTAATTCTTCTGAAGATCAGGGATGCTAAATCACAGTTCATTACGTATTATCTCACATAATGTGAAGAGGCTTAATGTGGCGAAGTTTTTTGTTTTCTTGGTCTCACTTTTGACTAAGTATCTCAGAAAACCGATGGTGGACTTTCAAGCATTCTGTCTCTGCCAGCATATCTTCCTAGCAAATGTTTTAAAGAGATTTACTTAGCTTTTCTACTTAGTGGAGGTGGCCATCGAAAATCAAAGAACAGGTAAACAATTTAGGAGAGAAGTACCTTGAAGAAACAATTCACCAAGTATGCTTAATCACTAGGTGACCTGTCTTGAGTACCTTTTGGGTGAATAGCTGCATTAGGCATTACAAGTTATTATGGTCAGTATAACTTAAAAGTGTTTAATTTTCTATTTTACTGAGCCTTAAAAATAGCACTTGTGAGCTTGCGATACTTGATGTTTGGCAATCATAATATGTACAAATGAAAATGACTGAAAAGCTCTTTGTACTGTCTATCATCTGATCAAAAATGTTTTTGCTTCTCCTATTTCCCCCAGAAAATACTAAATTTAAATTTTAAGTTAAGAGTTTATAACATCCATCAAATTCAACTTTATGCATCATTATTCATAAAGCTTGCCTTCCTTTCTTAGATACTTAAGGAGCCAAATTTGACATTTGCTTACTGGGATTTTAGAGACATTTAGTCATGCAACAAATATTTACTGAGTAATTCATAATGTGCCAGTCATGTATTGGTGTATTTCCCAACATAAATTTCTGTCACTTTAAAATTGATTATATTTTATCTATATTGGATTAACTTAACAAATGGAAAAATATAGAACCTGGTATTTTACGAAATTAAACCCCTTAATTTTAAGTCTTAGCATATTTAGCTTATACTTTTATAGCAAGTGTCAAGCATTTATTCAGGGGATCTTACTCTGTGTGATCTAGGTTGTCTATTCACCAGTTGGACACTGATACACAAATTGCTGTCAATTATGAGTTTTTAAATTACCTGCTAAAATTCAGCACTAGGACTTTAAAGTAATGTTCTGATCATGGAAAATTCAAGATGAAGCACTATTTGCAGACCATTTGATTTAATGATTGAGTATTAAAAACTTAAACTTATGCTCATTCTAAACTCAAGCTTGTATTCCTCACAGAATTTAAAGATTTTTTTTTACCACATTTACTAAACTCTTGAAATTAGTTTATTACTATGTGTAAATTATAATCTTGAGAATTTTAGAAATCTGTGTATCAATTTAGTACTTGCAGTGGAATCAAAAGAAATTTTTTTCTTAAATGCACTTGAGCAGAATGAAACCCTCTTCCCATTCATTGTTTTTGACTGCCGTACAATAATATTTTATTAATTAAGGATAGTTTAATGTAAGTGACAGACTGAATGAACATTGTGCTTTCTTATCCCCTGTTCACCCTTTCCCTTGCTCTTCTTCGGATTTAAAAAATTTGTTTCCCTTGAATGAAAAATGGGCATAGTCCAGTGGTACCTTTGAAGGTTTGGCCGCTGGTCAGCTTGACCCTGTTGGCAAAAACTAATATAGTCATGCCACTTGATTATTCTATGAAGTTCAAGTCCCAGCAAAATCCTAGTCAGGAATGAATTAACATTGCATTATCTGTCTGCATACCACAAGTACATGTGTCTAACTTAATGCAGTGTCTTTTTAGACTGTTAGGCATTAAAATGTGTATGTTGGCAAGTTGCTCGAGACAGACATAATTTTCTGTGTCTTTTTTGAAAAAATTAGACTAGGGAGTATCAAGATTAGCAGCAGAATTGTTTTTGTTTTACAAATCAGGTGGCCTTCCTAAGCTTTCATACATTAAGGTTTATGTTCTTTTATGTGTTGAGACACACATTTGCTATTATTTGCAGCACTTTAAAAAAATTTGAAAAGTTTACATGTTAGCGCCCTCTGGGGATCTTGTTAAAAACATTAACATGTAATTCTTGAGCTGCTAACAATCAGCTCTCCTTAACAATTACCATCAGTATGTAGTGTCCAACCATCCAATGGTACAACATTCTGGTGTTTTGATAACAGAGAAACTTAATTTCTGTAGCTATTAGGAGCAGGCTCTGTGCCCTGACATTCAGAATGTTACCCATTTCTGTCATTTGATTGTTTTTTATCATTCATTGTATAGTGCACTATTCAGAACTTGTCCTTGTAGCACAAAGATGACTATAGCAACTTCAAAGAGATTAGATTCGTAAAACTTTTCATTTGTTTCTACCCAAACTTATTTTAAGGGACCTGATTTTTGAGTCAGAGGCCTTAGAAGTGTCATATATAAACAACATGATTTTTAAGTCTTAAGGGAAACATTTAATTTGAATAAGCTAGTTTATTAACAAACGATGTTGTCTTACTAAGATTTACACTATTTTGACTCATTTCATCTAAGCTAGAAAGAATATAAAAACTAACCTGATTGTGGGAAAAGGTTTTTCTGTTTGTTTGTTTTTTTCAAAAATTAGCCCGTATTTTGTTTATAGTGCTTTGAATACTTGACTTCGAAGAAATTATTACATTGATATTGAATCATAGGGTGCTGATTTAGGTCTTGGTCTGTTTGAATTAAATGAAGACTGATAAACCTCCTATGCTATTTTAGAGTGAAGGAATAAAGGGGCAGGAAGATAGATTACCACTGAACAGAAGAGGTCCTCAAATGGATGCATTCCCAGTCAGAATTAATGCTTTTTGGAAAATTTCTCAAGCAATGCCTTTCTGTCATCGTAACCCTCCTCCCCCATTTCTTGGCACAGAATGTAGCAGTGCCATAACTGAAGAGCTTGTCATTAAAGCATAAAATCATAAATATAAGTATGTTGCTATGATGCCTTTTGATCCTTTTTTTTGAAAATACAAACCTACATCTAGGAGTTAAGGGACAGTGAAGATACGATTTGGTTAAGTTGTAGGTCAACAGAAAGGTTAATCCAAGAAAGGCTGAGAATTCGTACCAAGATTACATGAGCCTGACTTTATAACTGGTGTAGGATATGTGATTGTAGCCTCTAAGTTACTGAAAAGGGTGAGGGCACCTCGTTCTTGTCAGTTTCCCAGTTTACCTTGGTGCCATTCATGACTTAAGCTGTTCACAGGAAATAAAATTTCCTTGACAAAGAGTAAATTTTTTCCTTTAAAAAAGTACTGAATTTAACTTAAAATATAGAATAAGTGTGTATAGCTTGTCAAAAGGGATAGAGAATGACAAAGAGCCCTGTGTTTCCTGTATCAGTGCAGCACAGGTAGAGGTTGCCAAATGCAAGAAGAAAACCACAACAGTCAAATTCAGAGCTTTAAAACAGGACCTGAAAACGTAGGGAAGGGGGAAATAGTTCTGTTTACTTGGCATAAGAAAATGTTTTTTTCTTAATGAAGATGGTCAGTGTTTTCTTGTTTTAAAAATGGTCTTTTGTCTACTTTTTTCAGAATTAATGCACTGCTGCTACCTGGGAGATGTCTAATTTCATTTTGTACCACGCTTACGTGATGCTGTTGTCATTAAGATGCACTGATTTTATTTATATGAGGTGTATGATTTTATGAATGCTGTATGAAGGACTTTTTGAAAGAATAAATGAAGTGAAAGTATTGTCTGAGCATTTTTTTTAACTCCCGCATAGGGAAATCATGTTTTAGTGAGCTTAGGAAAATATGTTCATGAGGAACCAGCTCTGAGCATGAACAGCTCTCTCTCTTAACTGCTTCTCTGCCTTTCTCCTTCTAAAATTCCTTCTTACACCATGAGGAGTTTTCTGATCTTACTCTGACGGTGTTTTTCTGTATTCAGTTGAAGGATGAATTCATTAATGAATCTTAAAATACTAGCAGGTGTTAGCCAGATGGATGCAGGTTGGAGTGGAGTATCTGGTTAAAGATAGCACACTGAATATATCCACTCATCTCCACTCTTCCAAAACTGCAGTAAAACAATGGGATTTTAAAAGGCATAAATTCTCAAGGACTAAGAGATGTTAGGGTAGATGACAGCAGCAAAATTTTTGAAACTGGCCAGCAATTGGATGCATGATAACTGAACTAGCAGATTTGGAAAAGCTGAATCCCAAGTCAGTGACCCTATTTTTTCCAGGGAGAACCTATCCTCCCCAATTCAAGAACTGGTATTAGTACCTCTGGAAACAGGTGGGAAAAAATCAGGAAGATGGATAGAGCCTGGTTAAGATTCCTCTCCCACTCTGAGCAACTAAGAGCTTACTATATCCCGAGTGATGTATTCGAGTGAGGGTAAAACAGAGGGTCTCTACTGAAACTAAGGATGAAGTGAAGTTTTCATACACTGGATGTTGAGACCAACAACCTTCTGCCACTAGGTTCTGAGAATGCTAGCTGCCAGAATTATGCCCTGTAGGCAGGAGTTTGGAAAACTCTGAGGAATCTTCTCTGACATCAAAGATGTTCCAACAAGATGACTGTGAGATCACCCTAGTAAAGTCCACAATCAACCAGGCCCATCCATGCCACAAAACTTAGCTTTTTGTTACCTAATTCTTAAATTTGAGTGGATAACCAAGAATCATCAGACATACAAAGATACCCTTTAACAAGAATCACCAAAGCCAAAACAGGTAGAAAACAATAACTTGGAGAAGACAGAGACTATGAAGGCAGTAAAACACTAAAATTATATTGGCATGTATATTCTTAAAATAATAAGAGAAGATTTTGTATCAATGGAACTAGGAAAAAATGTAATAAAAATTCAGAGAACAATAATTCTCAGGCATAAAAATACAATAGAAAGTTATAGATATATTTTAAGAAATCTTCCAGTAATAAAGCAAAGAAAGAGAGGTGTAGGCAGTTCATATTGAAAAATATAAGTTCCAAAAAGAAAGAACAGAGAAATTGGAGGGTAGGAATTAATCAAAGAAATAATTCAAGATAATATCCCAGAACTGAGAGTCACGTGTTTCCAGACTGGAAGGATTCCAGCCTAGTCTAAAGATCCATTCCAAAACACATCATCATGAAAATTTTAGAATACTGGAAACAAAGAGAAAGCCCTAAACTTAGAATCATAAATTCTTGGGGCTTTTCAACAGCAACACTGAAAGCTAGAAGGCATTAGTACAAAATTCTATATCCAGCTGCGCTATCAATGAGTGTGTGACTAGAATAAAATTATTTTCAGTTATGTAAGATCTTAATCACTCTTTCTCAGGAAACTATAGTTAATGTGTCTTAGCAAATAAGAAGGTAACTCAAGAAAGAGAGAGATACAAGATACAGGTAATCCAACAAAAGAAAGGTGAAAGGATTTTTCCCAGTAGGACAATAAATACAGAAATCAAAATGACAGCCATGCAACAGGCTAAAGAACAACCTATCTAAATGGAAGATCATTCCAGAATGCTATGGGAAATTTTTGATGTATCAAAATACCATCAAAAAATTGTATCAAAATAGTATAAAAAAGACTACTATATTGAATGTATTGAGAAAGATTTACATAATGGGTGGGAATAGAAAGATAAAAAAGATACATAGGAAAGGAAGTGCAAACAGTTTATCTCATAGCTCAGCTGTCAATAGCATTTATTTAAGCAGAGAAACATAATCAAACCCAGCAGTTTGGTTCCAGAGATACTACACTATAGTATTGTATATTTGAATACTGGGATATATAGAAATTATTTTGATAGAAAGGCCGAAATGGTGACGTAGGAGAGAGGACGGCAGGGACTGAGTTTGTGAGATGAGATCTGGAGCGCACATGGATGACAGGGTTTTATAGGAAGAGCAGCGATTCCTCTGCTGTACAAAATGGAGGAAGAAAATGGGCACAAGAAGGTAGGTTTGTAAATTTGGTGATGGAAAGGCACTTCATAGTAGTATGTCAAAGGACAAAATTTAGGAAAAAAAATAATCAGCAAAATTGTAGAGCAGATGGATTACCTACCAGCACAATCTCAAAAAATGTATTTTTTAGGACAATTTTCTTAAGTAAATGCCTCTTGGCTGCTGTTTTCTTACTGAACTTTTCAAATTTCGTGGTGAAGTCATTATCTGAAAATGAAGGAAATAAGGGGTGGAAAGTTTGAGGATAGAGAAGAAATACTGGTCTCGGAAAAGAGGAAATCCAGCTTCCCAGAGAAAGGTGGTAATTGCTTGGCAATATAGAGTACATGTTTGAGGTTGCTATTCATGAATTTACAGAGGTGCCTATCTGTTTTGTGTGTGTGTGTGTGTGTGTGTAATTAACAGATGTTAGTGGTCTGAAGGAATTCAGTGATAAAAGCCAGAGCAGGAAATGCTGACTTGCAGAATAGAACGTTAAAGTTGACATTTCTGGGAACACAACACAGTAGCAGGTAGGAGAAAAGCAGTAGTCTAATCAATGTATCTTACTTGTAACTGTTGCCATATTATAAATTGTATTCCATGGCCCTTCTACTGCCAACAATGAAGATAAATATTAACAAATTATAATACACTTAATGCAAATTCTATGCATATTACAAGAAATAAGTCTGAGAAGCCAAATAAATTCTTAAATGGGCAATTCCAACAAATGAACCTGTGTAGGGCTGTTAGGATTTGCTAGGAGATCCAAATGTTATCCAATAATGTTCCCTGGCATTTTCCAATATTCACTATCTTCTATACACTACAGTTCTTTGTAAATACTATTAAAGCTGATATTTGGGTTTTTTTTTAACAATTTTAGATATCCATAATAAGTAAAGAACATAAAGAGTGATAGATGCATTTTAAGAAAGGTAAAGGAAATCAGCCCATTGCCAGATGTGTTTTAAATCATTGCAATGTAAAGTATCAGCAACTGGGGACCTTCAAACTATCTCAGACTCATAGGTATATTCATGATGTCAAAAATCTCTGAAAACAGTCCTGATGAGCCAAATCAATGCCTATCACCTCTAAGAGCAATGCACAGTTTAATAGCATGTCCAAGGACAAGGTTTAGGAATGAAAACAAAAAGCAAAATGGTAGCAATAGATGGATTCTGTCAAACATGATCTCAAAAAATGAAGTTTTATGACAATTGAAAAAATGAAAAATGAAATTTGAAAAGAAAAAAATGAAAAAATAAAATTTTTAGGACAATTGTCCTCAGTAGAGGATTTAAAGTTCATCATCATCTTGGGCACTAATATTTAACTCCCATAATAGAAGTTATACATAAAAAAATTTGATGCCCTTCATGAATTCAAATGTTACAAGAGGATAGATACATGCTAGTGGGTTAGATCTAGAGATAAATGCATTGTATTAAGCGATTACAGTAAAGCAGTCCTAACATTCTATTCCAAAAGGTGGTGCTTGAGTCAAACCTTGAAGGAAGGACAATACTAAGCCAGAAGGACAGAATGGGGATGGATCCAAGCAAAGGATACAGCATGTGCAAAGGCCCAGAAGCATGAAAACATGGCAGTTTCAGAAAAATTAGGTGTGACTGTAGTAAAGATAGAGGAATCATGTAGGAAGGTGTGCAGGGCAGCTCATGAAGGTCTTTTTTTTTAAATTTTTTATTAAGGTATTATTGATATACACTCTTATGAAGGTTTCACATGAAAAAGCAATGTGGTTACTACATTTACCCATATTATCAAGTCCCTGCCCCCCACCCCAATGCAGCCAGTCCATCAGCGTAGTAAGATGCCACAGATTCACAGTTTGCCTTCTCTGTGCTACATTGTTCTCCCTGCAACCCCCTATACCATGTGTAATAAGCATAATACCCCTCAATCCCCTTCTCCCTCCTTCCGCACCTGCCCTCCCACACCCTGCCCCTTTGGTAACCGCTAGTTCCTTCTTGGACTCTCTGAGTCTGCTGCTATTTTGTTCCTCATGAAGGTCTTTTTATGTCATTTAGGGACTTTGAATTTCATCATGAATGGTATGAAAATATATCAAAGTATTTGGAAAGGAATAACAACTCAGATGCATATCTATAAAATGGAAGATGTGGAACAAGGAATTTCTGTAGTCTCTTCCATCTTTACTGGTTCATGATCTAGCAACAGTAAAGTCCTCAACCAGAATGGAGAGTATGAAGGGCTGGAATGACCTCACAGGATATATGGGAGGATTGCTGAGAAGTATTGAGTCTGGGTGAGGATAGGCATGGTGATGGAATTGGCTGGCAGGCAGAAAGAGGAGAGAGGACAGGTTTGAGGGCAGGGCCAACATGAGTTCAGTTTTGAACATGTTAAGATTTGGTGTTCCTTACAAAAGTCTCTGATGCATGATCCCAGTCCTCAAACTTTTGTTCACACTAGGCAGAAAAGGCCTGCTGAATCCTCCCAATTGTCGTGGTAGGTGGGCCAAAGAAACACTGCTGTCGAAAAAAAAAGAGAGAGAAGAAAAAAGCTACTCCCAAGAATTACTTAGTGATTAAATAATTTCAGAAACCCTTTACCCAAATCCACTTAAATACACCCTTCAGTTCCCATCTAATTATTTTAGGCTTAACATTACTACCACTTCAGTGAGAACTTGGTGATCTATCTGATGTCTTAACCTGCCCTATCAACTCCATATCTTATAGCCAAATTATAATCACCCTCATCTGAATCCTTCCCTAGCTATTTTCTCTTTAAAGCAAGCTC